GTCCGACTTCTCCTGTAAACCCGGCCTCCCCAGTCCGCTTTCTCCTGTAAACCCGGCCTCCGCAGTCCGCTTTCTCCTGTAAACCCGGCCTCCCAGTCCGACTTCTCCTGTAAACCCGGCCTCCCAGTCCGACTTCTCCTGTAAACCCGGCCTCCGCAGTCCGCTTTCTCCTGTAAACCCGGCCTCCGCAGTCAGCTTTCTCCTGTAAACCCGGCCTCCGCAGTCCGCTTTCTCCTGTAAACCCGGCCTCCGCAGTCCGCTTTCTCCTGTAAACCCGGCCTCCGCAGTCCGCTTTCTCCTGTAAACCCGGCCTCCGCAGTCCGACTTCTCCTGTAAACCCGGCCTCCGCAGTCCGCTTTCTCCTGTAAACCCGGCCTCCGCAGTCCGCTTTCTCCTGTAAACCCGGCCTCCCCAGTCCGCTTTCTCCTGTAAACCCGGCCTCCCCAGTCCGACTTCTCCTGTAAACCCGGCCTCCGCAGTCCGCTTTCTCCTGTAAACCCGGCCTCCGCAGTCCGCTTCTCCTGTAAACCCGGCCTCCGCAGTCCGCTTTCTCCTGTAAACCCGGCCTCCGCAGTCCGACTTCTCCTGTAAACCCGGCCTCCCCAGTCCGACTTCTCCTGTAAACCCGGCCTTCCTAGTGCAGACACCAACCGGCGCCTTGAGCAAAGCACCTGGAATGGAATTCGAAGCTGTCCCTGGAGGCGGGAGCCTGGGCGCTGACCTGGCTCTCTCTGGAGAGGCAAACTGGACACCCGCTTTCCCAGGGGCCCTGAAGGCGAAGGGGCGCCCCGTCCCGTGCATCCCGGGAGCCCGTGCCCTAGGGGCTCCGGTCCTGCCCGCACCCAGCACGTGGCAGAGCCTGCCCGGCGCTTCGGCTCCCGACCCTGGCACCTCGCGACCGGCAGACGGGGCGCCGGCGGCCTCGAGTAGGCTCTGGGCCTTGCTACTGGGGCCCCCGACCACCTCACCCAGAAAAGCCACACCCAGGCCGGCTTGCCCACCCCGGTAGGAGCTCTAGTTAACTGTCCGACCCGGTCTTCGGCCTCCACAGGCAGCTCCCCCTCCCGGGGGACTCGGCGCCCCTCAAGCTGGGAGCAGAGAGGGCCCCCGCCTCGGTCTCCAGCGGGATGGAGCTGAGCGAGGGGCGCAGGCACAGCGAGCGCCCTTGGGCCCAGCACCCTCAGCACCCTCTCCCTGCCCCGGGGCAGAAACCACCCGCGGGCCGGCCTCGGGCTTGGCCCGACTCGGGAGGAGGCTGGGCGCGGGGACTGGACGGCTGGAGGCGGCGGGTGGTCCCCGCGACGCGCTTCCCGACGCACAGCTTCAGATGCTGGGTGGGATGGGGCGTAGGGCGTGGGGAGTGGGGCATCCTTCCCGAGCGCGGCCCCCTGGGAGGCCCTGTGGCCTCTCCGGCAGGGACAGTGTCCGAGGCCGTGGAAAACCCGCCAGCAGAGGAGTCCCTGGGGCCACCCCGTGGGGCGCTCAGCGAGGCCCAGCGGTGGGGGGAGAGCGGCTTATGGGCCCAGACAACAGGCCCAGGCTCTCTCCCCACACCCCTGCCGCGCACGCCATTCTTCCTCCGAATCAAACGGGCCGGGGTGGAGGCGGAAGGATTCCAGCGGCCGGAGGGGTCGCTGGCTGCCCCGCACTCGCACCGGGAGCCAGCCGCCCGAGTGCCCGCCCGCGGCCCGCGGCGCGCAGTGCGCGGACCTCTCCTCCAGGGGGCGCTGCGGGTCTTCTCGCGGCGGCTGAGCTCCCGCGGCGGCGGCGCTGTCCCCTCCCATCCGCGCTGTAAAGCGCCGGCTCGAACTTACTTTTTTAAAAGATAAACTGCTTAGTTTTTGGACCCCCTACGTCCACACCCACTGTTCTGAACCCAAAGCCCGCTGTCCTTCGCGGGCCTCCGCACTGCTCTGAGGCTGAAGTGCACGCTGGGCTCCCAACTCCGCCGGGCGGGCGCAAAGCAGCCTACAGTGCGCGAAGTTCAAATGCAGAAGGTTCCCGCCCTGCGGAGGCTGGGGAAGGCCGGGGGAAAGGGTGGCGAGCCCTCGGAGGTAATGGCAGCTGGGATCCCTTTGGAAAGAATGGGTTCCCGCCATCTGTGTCTTAAAGATTTTAGGACGCCCGCAGCTCGCAGTCCGAGTGGGAAGGCTTGGCGTCTGTCCGACACCTGCTCGCCGCTGCACTGGCAGAGCCTCCTGGGTGGGCCGGGGGTGGGGGGGTGGGGGGGGGGGAGGGGAAGGGACCTGCGCTCGGGCCCCCTCCTCCTGCTCCAACTCCTCCGCGCTTCCTCTCGCTGGCCTTCATCCCGTCCTCCAGGGGCGTAAACTTTCTCAGGCGATCGGGTTTGGGCAGCATCCAGGAGCGCGCCCCTCGTCAGTCTGTTAGCCATTTCCCTGGGAGCGTCCTTGGTGTCAAACGCCTAGAGCCGCCAGGGCAAGAGAAGAAGGAGTCGGCGCGAAAGTCAGAGTGAACTGGCCGCGCGGCTCCGCGGGGCGCAGGGGGAATGGGGCGGCTGCGCGGAGCCGCAGCCCCCGAGCGCCGCTGGGCCGCCGTGGGCTCCGGGACGCCCCTCTGCTCACACCCGGACCCCACAGCTCGCTGGGCCCCGTGGCCAATCTTCCGCGCCAGGAGGTGTCGCCCGCAGAGCCCGGCAAGTGAGGCGGTTCCTGGGTGGGCCCCCACCACGTGTGCGCCCTAGAGGCCGGTGTGGACCTTCGGGCTCGCCGGGCTGCGCGTGGAGGAACTCCGGGGCCTGCCGCGGGTGGGCGCGGAGGGGACTCCCGGGAGCCTGGCGCGCTGTGCGGCACCGGGCTCAGCCTCGGGCTCGCCCTCGACGTGGGTCGCGCACCTGCCGACGGAGTTGGCCGGGCCTGGAGTCTGCGGGAACACGCAGCTTCCCGCACAGCCCGGAACTCGCCGGCTCCTCCCTACCTTTCAAGCAACCGCAGCGCTCGGGGCCAGCGTGGCCCAGACTCCATTGTGGGACGTCGGAGGCGCGGGTGGGCGAGGTAAACGCATTTAGGGAAAAGCCGAGGCTCAGGAGGTTTGCAGAAAGAGGGCGCAGCTCATGGGTGGTTGTAAATTCTGTCTACTTTGCGGGGAGAAGCAGGCGGTTTCGCACCACACACACACACACACACACACACACACACACACACACACACACACACCCGTAGGAAGGTGTGAAGTCCGCCCCTGGGGAATTGCCACCACTTTAGTGAAAAGGAAATGCAACGCGTAGGAACACTCTTCAGGTCACCACCCCTGGCGTGCGTGTCCTGGGGGTCTGAAAGAAGAGAAAGTTCCCTCCAACTCTTCCAAATTGAGAAAAGCTGCGGAAAGAATGAGGCGGTTAGAGAGAGGGGACCACAGGCATCCCGGTAGCTGGAGCTCAGGACGGAGCACTAAAATGAAAGCACCCCTATAGAAGCCACCAGGGAAAACGTTTAAAAGAAAAATAAAAAATAAATCCTGAGCTCTTAGACGTTCTACTGCTTTCATGCTGTTTGTCAAATCTCCTTCGCAGCCGTTCAACACTGAAGGATATTAAACACCCAGGTCTGCCTTCCGAGCTCACTTTTTAACCTTTGCGAATTGGAAATTGGAAAGGAGAAAAGATCTGCTCTCCCTGAATTATGTTTTACCCCAAAGGAACGAAAAATTCTATCCACCTCGGCATAAATGACATAGAATTGTATCTTCATAAACTAACATCTCATAGCTTCTACCTGCCCGCCTCCCTCATCACTAGTTCACCTTTTGACAGTGTTTCGTCTTATATTTTTGTCCACTTCCTTGCACGATTGAGATTATTTTAATTGCTCTCTGAGGTGGCACATCCAAAACCACTTTTTTGGCGGAACACTTGAATTGTACAGCCTGTTGGCTGGAAGATCTGTGCCCCCAAAACGAGGGCTTGCCAGGGGGCTGAGGCAAATCCCCTCCCCCGGCAAAGGGCTGGAAGAAGGACGCTTTGCTCAGGGTTGCTCAGCCAGATCTCATCTGCAAAGAGGCTGCTTCAAATGAGTGTGTGTGACTCGGTCACCCCACTTCCAGAGGAGCTGAAGGGCTTTCTGCAGTTCCTCTCTCCCAGGACCAAACCTGTAGAAGAACCTGAAAAATGTATCACTACACTTCAAACTCGATGAAGGTTCCTGGCGACTAAACAATGAGCTCTACTTTTATTATTTTATTTTTATGTTTTGGCTGGGAATGAAGATGTACATGTTTTGAGACGCTAAAATAGTATGTTCCTAAATTTTGTAAATGATCGTTCCTCACCCAATTCCAGGCGGATTCTTTATTTACCAATGCGTTGCAGAAGCCCACCTCTTTAAGTCGCTTCACTGCTTAGGAAACGTACACTGGCTGATGAAAGCTTAGATATTGGGAGACGTGTCTTCTGGGATATTCCACCATATGCCTTTCCAGGCATTAAGAAATTAGCCATTGTCACCTCAAAAGCAAACTGTTTAGACAACAGGTGAAAGCAGACAACACATGTAGTCAAAATTGACCCAAGAATATGTACAACACTGGTGTTTTAAATTGGGGGGAGGGCGCTACATGCTGAAGAATACAATCTAGAACTGATTGCTTTTACCCTACGAAGAAGCCGGTTATGTTAAACGTGCTAAGATGTGGACGTGAACTCGGCGAGAGTTCCAAGTAAAACTACAACATGTCCTTCCGTTCCCCTGTGGGGTCTTCCAGAGGCAGAAGGCCAGTGGCTCAGTTTGTAACACTAAGGAAAAGTGGCAGAGAGAAGGAAAGGGGTGGGCGTTGTGTTTGTGTGTCGGTTTTGAACTGAGTCACCTTCGCCTCTCGCTGGGAAACCTCGGGCAAACCTGTGCCTTTAAGACTCAGTTGCTATCCAAACACAAGTAAACAGAGTGGACCATTCGCGGGCGCCGGGCGCGGAGGCGGAGCCTGGGAGCGGTGGGCCCCGCGCGGCGGCGGGACGCCCGCCCGGAGGGGAGGCGGGGCCGCTACTAAAGCCCCGGACTCCCGGCCGCGAACAGCCTAGGGAGGGACGCGGGCGGGGACGGAGCTCGACGCACTCGCTGCCGGAGGGTGATGGCCCTGCGAGGGGGCAGACTGCGACTCCATCCGGAGTCCGCCAGAGGCTCGCGGAGGCGCGGGGTTCCGGGCGAGCGCTGAGCGCCGGCTCCGAGCGCCGCGGGTCTTTACGCATTCCACGTCCACAGACTCCGACGAAGGCGAGGATCCACTCTCGTTTTTTTTTTTTTTTGTTTTTTTTTTGGCGGCTCGTAATGCTCCAGAGAATGTCCGCGGCTGCCGGGACTCCGTGCGGAAAGAGACGTTTGCCCGGCGTGGACCCAATGACCTTTTCAAGCTGTGCGCCTCGCAGCCTGGAGCGGGTCTGAGCGGCGCGGCGCCGGCGGACCTTTCCGCGGGAGGTGAGTGTCCGCCCTGGGAAGGGACTGCAGGCTCCCTGAGAAAGGAAGGGTGCCGGGGGCGCCGATTCTCGGCCGGCGGTCCACAAGTTCAGAAATTGTGAGAAGGGATCCTGTGGATGCGATCCTGGGCATTGTTTCTCATTTGTCTGCTCCCAGGCGCGTCATTCCCAGCGAACACCCATGGACACACACTTGTATGTACAGTTTTTAGTTTTGTTGTGCAACATTTAATCCAAGCATTCATCGGGTCTTCTTATAAAAGCTGATCAGCATACCCTGAGATTAAAAAAAAAACCGTTGCCCCAGGTGCCCTAGGATTCCACCTCCACCCGTCCCAGGGCAGCCGCGGCGCAGCGCGGACGGGCCGGGACACACAGCGCCCGCCTAGCTCACGCGTTTCAAAAGGGAAGTCATAGCTCAACCCTAGGTAACTCTCCAACCTTGTGTTGTTGGCCTTTTTGATTATCCTCTCACCCTCCAGTTCTGGAGGAGGGGGCGGGAGGCAAATACCCCCGAGTCTGAAATGCTTGGATCCTCAAGAAATAGCAGCAGCAGCAGGAGTTGCGGTTGTAGAAAGGAGGAGGGAGAAAAGGGTGTTTGTGGAGGGAGCGCTGGATCCGTCTCCCTACCTGTTAGCAGAGAACAAAAGGGGGCTGGCGTTTCCCGGAGCGAGACGCCTCAGACAGCTCGTTCCTCTGCAAAACAAACTGCAGTCCCGAGCAGAACAAGAAAATTACTCACGCAGGGGGAGCGAGGGAGCAGGGAGAAACAGAACCCTTATGCGGAAGGCATCTTAATTTAATTAACTCCTTGGGAAGGCAGAGGCGCTGCACAGGGGCAGGGACTTCGCTGGCGGTTTTTTTTTTGTTTTTTTTTTCTCAGTTCACCTGATCCAGTCTGGCCATTTTTATTTCACTTTTTCAAAATGACCTCCTTAGATCCACTTGGACTGTAGCCTCTCTGATTTATGTGAAAATCCCATTGTGCCATTTGGGCTGAAATTCAGCGAGCCCATCCATCTATCGGTCAGTCCTCTCAGACACCCACCACAGGTTTTAGCAGATGACCCCTGACTGTATATTATTTTTAGATAATTCAGTGTAACAACACTGTTACCTAAAAGCGAGACTCCTTATCCAATTACCATATCACATACCCCTTTCTTCTCCAATGCTCTGAAAGCTTCACGGAACTGAAATTAGCATGTACACATCTCACTTGTTGACAGCCAGTGGGCTAAATTTTACAAAACTTCTGTACATGCCTGGAAATTCCTGTGAAGAAGAGTGATGAAAGAAAACCAGCCCCAGCTCCACTGAAATACTTCTGTATTTTCATTGGTTTAAATTTCTTTCCTTGCAAAATTAAAAGTAACCAATGGTCCCAAAGGGCCTGGTGGAGAAATGACAGCAAACGATAACTGTTATTGCTTGAGACAGAGTATGGGAACTCCATGCTCAACTCCAGACAAAACGAAAGTACTGTAGCTCTCTGTAGATCGACTTAAAATTTTTTTTTGACATATATTTCCAGCAACTCGGCGGGAGAGTGGAAATCTGAACTCCCTAATTATTTATGGCAAAAATGTTAGGTGGATATTTAGGGTTGTCCTGTTTGTAGAAGGGGTTCAGACGTCACCCATGGTCTGCTCCTCTGTGAAGAAACCATTTGTCCTGCAAATTAAAATGAACACAGACTGTGAAATAGCACTTGTGTACCCCCATGAAGCTGAATGACAATGGAATCTTTAATTTTTGTGTTACGAACCATTAGGGGGAAAAAAGGGAAGGAAGATGGCATTCAACTTTATGCTGGCAGGACATGTAACCTTTATGGCAGAGTCCACTTCGTGTATTTGGAATCGAAACCACAAGTTGTGGTAGTCCTGCAACTGGCAACACACACACACACACACACACACACACACACACACAGAACATGGTGGGAGTTGTGCTTGCCTCCTGTATTTATTTCTAAGAAATCTGGGAATACACCCAAATAATAATTTTGGTTTCCTCTCTATCCGGGAGGCTGCTTTTTAACACTAGTGGGGGGGGGGGAGACTATTTTGAATCTCTTCTTGGCCCTCATTATGCAAGAAGGAAATAAAGGTGCAATTTATTTTAATGGAAGAGGAAATAATCAGATAGGTTAGCAGGGATTGAGGAGAATCCTTTTTCTAATCTCTCTAGGAGAGGTCTGGAGGGGTTGCCACTGAACAAAACTGAATCGTGATTTGTGGTGGGAAAGTTTGTTCCGAAAGGAGGTTTACGGTTTCAGTTGAATGGTCTGACTGAGACCCTCTGACTGTTACACACCTCTCATTAACTCCAGGCCTGAACTCCCAGACCGCATACCACCAGGCAGAAGCGGCTCATTAATAAATCCCTGTCTCTGAGCCTTTCCAAGCAGAGGAGGAGGGAGTGAAGGTGTGGGCCTGGTGGAGGCAGCCAGACCGCCTTGCCAGAGCGCTGTGTCATTAGCGCGGCCCCCTACGTCCGCCCTCAGAGCCACTGGCAACACCACACACAAGAGAAGAAAACTCAGGGGCAGAAGTGGGTGGGTGGAGAGGGGAGGCTAAACAAACTCTCCCACCTTTCTGCTGGTTTCAACAGCCAGGCGGAAAGGGGGATGGCTCAGCCGGGCCGCCAGCTCCTCTCCAGGGACAGCTTGTAGCAATGGAGTCCCGCACCTGGAGAGCCGCCCTCGGAGACAAGGTGCGGTTCCGAGGAGCCTGCAGAACCCGGTGCTATGAAGGGGTAGGCCCACCCTGAATGCACGCGAGGTGCTTCTGGGAACCTGGTTCCGAAAGCAGACCTCCGTGTTGCCATTGGGGGCGCAGGGAGAGCAGAGTGTGCGCGCCCTGCCTGGGCCCAGGCCGCAGACCTCGGCCCCGCGTCCAGGTGGCAGGAGCACCGAGCACGCGTCTCCAGGGGCAGAAACAAGCTTCCTCCAGGCCGCCAGGACCTCACTGAGCCCGCCGCTGCGGCCCCCCTGCGGCTCCTTCCCCTTCCCTCCCCAGGGAGCCCGCTCTCCACCCTTTCCTCCCGAGGTCTCCTCGGGGTAGGAGCCGCTCCGGGGGACCAGGTCGGGAAGCCGCTCGAGCCTTCCTGGGGCTTGGCGCTCCACCCGGGAGAAGGGTTTCGGGCCTCAGGGACGTTCCCAACCTCCCCCACCTTCTCCCCGGGAGCCGAACCATCTGGAAGGGATCTTGGTGGGGGGTGGGAGTGGAAGGCCCCTGGGAAGGCGGAGGCGATTCCTGGTGGAACCCGGCCCCGGAGGTGTCACTTTTCTTTCCTGCGGCCCGTCACGGCTGATGAATGGGACGGAGGCAGAGGAAGGAAAAAGAAAACCTCCGAGGTCAGCGCGGGGCGAAGCGGGCCTCTCCGAGTGCTCGAGGGCCCGGGAGCACGAAGCACCCCCAGCTGCGCTCCCGGCACCCGGGCCACTGGGCCCGGCCAAGTGCGGGGCGCACCGGGAGGAGCCGCCGCGCGGGGCTGGGCCGGGTGGGACCCCCAGCCCGTCCTTCTCGGGTAGCTCCCAGGCGGCAGGGGCTGAGCCGGGGCCTGCGTGGTGTTGGCATCAGGGTTGTCGGGGGTTGACTGAGCTTCGCTAGACAGGGTGAGGTGGGAGGGCTGGACCCGGCGCTGCCTCTGCTGGAGCGCCCCTGCCCCCTTCCTTCTCCCGGACCTGAGTCTCCAGCTCCATCCCTGCAGGAGCCCGACCTTCCTGTGGGTCCCCAGCTCAGCTCACAGGGGACCTTTCCTGGCCCGCCTGACGCGGAGGAACACCACCTCTTCGGGGCGCGGGAGGAGGGTGGGGAGGACTTAGAAGGAAGGTGTGGTAACTCGCGCCTGCGCCAAAGTTCAGACCGAGCTGGTTTGGATAACAATCACGACTCTGCCTCTCTCCCTGTCATTTTCAGGGTGTCTCTGCTGTCGTCTCTCTGGGTTTTCACGGGAGCCCCACACCCACGCGCCTCTGAGTCCTGGAAGAAAGGGGCGGCTCCCTGCGCCCCCCGGAAGCCCGGAAAATGGGGAGCAAGGCCCTGCCGGCGCCCATCCCTCTCCACCCGTCGCTGCAGCTCACCAACTACTCCTTCCTGCAGGCCGTGAACACCTTCCCCGCCGCCGTGGACCACCTGCAGGGCCTGTACGGGCTCAGCGCCGTGCAGACCATGCACATGAACCACTGGACGCTGGGGTACCCCAACGTGCACGAGATCACCCGCTCCACCCTCACCGAGATGGCGGCGGCGCAGGGCCTCATGGACGCGCGCTTCCCCTTCCAGGCTCTGCCCTTCACCACTCACCTCTTCCACCCCAAGCAGGGAGCCATCGCCCACGTCCTCCCAGCCCTGCACAAGGACCGGCCCCGCTTTGACTTTGCCAACTTGGCCGTGGCCGCCACGCAAGAGGACCCCCCGAAGATGGGCGAGCTGACCAAGCTGAGCCCGGGGCTGGGCAGCCCCATCTCGGGCCTCAGTAAATTGACTCCGGACAGAAAGCCCTCCCGGGGGAGGCTGCCCTCGAAAACGAAAAAAGAGTTTATCTGCAAGTTTTGCGGCAGACACTTTACCAAATCCTACAACTTGCTCATCCACGAGAGGACCCACACGGACGAGAGGCCGTACACGTGTGACATCTGCCACAAGGCCTTCCGGCGGCAGGACCACCTGCGGGATCACAGGTGAGATGGAGCCGGAGGTTGGCCGCGGGAGGTGCGGCGAGGTCGCCCTAAATACCAAAGCCTCAGAGGCACCCCGAGTGCCACGGAAAGGCCCGCTCAACTAGCCTGGATCCCAGAAGGCCCCAGCGACCCGCCAGTAGTTACCTTTTCCCCTCACCGGCCATTGCTGCGTTCTAGTTCGGGATGCACGCGGGAGGTCCTTTTTTCAGGCTTTGGCAGCTAAAACCGGGTGGGGTGGTTTTGGTTGCTGCGATCGGTTTCTCAGTTTCCTCCAGGTCGCCCTTGGGGTGGGGGTAGCAGGTAAAGCCTGGGGACCCCAAATCCCACAATGGCAGCCTGGAGACCATTTCTGGATGTCTACTCTGGGCCACCCCCAACTGGGTTCCCTCCCTTCCCTATCCCCTACCCCCACGCCAGCGTGCTCTCCAGAGCCTAACGCCCGGACCTTCTACCTTTTACATTTATTTGCGGAGGTCGGTCTTGAGATCCCAGAATTTAGGCACAGTTACACCCCCCACCCCCGCCCCGCCCCGCCCTCAGGAGCTTAAACTCTGCATTAATCAACGGCAATTGAAGAAATACTAGAAACGTTAATGTTTTCATCCGGTAAAAACTTCCCAGGAGTGGGGGGTGGGGTATCTCTCTTGGGACTCCACTAGCTGTTTGTTACCCAAGGTGGGACTTGAGTGCCGATCCTCCGTGGCTGGTCGGGGATTCGCTAAAGTCAGTCCCCACCCCACCCCCCCAACTCCCCCTCGCTTTACGTCTTGATTTGGCCCGTTTAAATCCCTGGCGAAATCCTAGAGGCCCAGAAGGACTCTCTCGGCAGGATTTCGAGCTCCAGAATACGCCAGAGAGGGCGATCAAGTGTAGATAAAACCTACGTCCAGTGAATGTTGGGAAGAGTCTGTTAGTTGAGGTTAACCATAAACAGAATTACACAGGGGGGAAAAATACAATCTAAAAACATACATAATGGGATCCTGTTTCTTTTGTCCTTTCATGACGTCGAGTTCAGTAATTGTCAAAAGAGTCTGCTCTCTGTGGTGGGAAAGCCATTTCAATGAAACCTTATATTGATTTCCAGGTATATTCATTCCAAAGAAAAGCCCTTCAAGTGTCAGGAGTGTGGGAAAGGATTTTGTCAGTCTAGAACTCTAGCCGTTCACAAAACTTTACACATGCAGGTAAGTTTGTTTTCTTGTTAAAAGCAAAACAAAAACAGTGACTGGTTCCGTTTTATCATGTTTGCTCGACAAAAGGTGTTCAGTGGCAGAGTCTTCCTCTCAAAAGACTCTATTTAGATTATTTTTTCTAGGTGGGAAAAGCAATACTCCGCTTTTTTTATACATAAAATTAATCCCATTTAACATAAAACAGTGTTATGTTTTCTTAAAGAACAGGCCACTCTATTCTACATCCTAATTTTAGAATTATTATTATTATTATTATCCCATCTGCCCTGCATGTAAGGCTTTCGTGTTTGGGAGGAAATAAAGGTAATTTTGATAATGGAGTCATGGTGAAATCCCATATGCTCTCTCTTTCCCAGGGGCCTCATAATTTGTAGTGTTCAGAACATGGAGGAATAGTTTAATTTTCCAGCAAAGAGGAGACTTATTACCCGGGAGAATGTCGTTCCTTAAGAGAGGATTAGAGTTTTTCCTTCCCCCTTTTCCTGCCCGTGACATGGTGATGAAATGTAAAGAGCTGGCAATCACAGAGCCCACCGCGGTGGCCAGCAGCCCCGTTATCAGTGTAATCGGCCCCGCTGTGTGCCTGCGCGTGTGTGTTAGCGATTGGAGGATTAGGGGCAGGGATTTGTGCCCTCTTTTGTTGCCGTGCGTGCGTGTGTTATGTGATACCAATGAGACAACTATTGAGAAGGGTGCGGTGGTGGTGTGAAGTATTAATCCCTTTGCTTGCTTCACATCTGAACAGGAATCTCCACACAAATGCCCCACATGTGGAAGAACCTTTAATCAGAGAAGTAATCTGAAAACTCACCTTCTCACCCATACAGACATCAAGCCCTACAGCTGCGAGCAGTGCGGCAAAGTGTTCAGGCGAAACTGTGATCTGCGGAGGCACAGCCTGACTCACACCCCGCGGCAGGACTTCTAGAGAAGCCCAGGATCTGTCCCCGTGCCCCCCTGCTCCCCTCTCCCCAGACACCCCTCCACACCTCCCACCCGGGGGTTCCACCCCGCCCCCCCCCCCCTGCAACCCTTCACTGACCCCAGCTCTGCCCTTGCTGCAGCCGCACCTGCAGCTCCAGGGAGTTAACTGAGCTTCTGGAGGACTGAGAACTGTAGACAGCCACACACGTACATCCCTTCACAAAGAGCATATGCGAGTTCCTTGTAGATATGCACAGCTCATTTTAGAGCTCTGTACATAATGTCGTGGGTCTTGGTGTTGTTGTTCTGTTTGTTTTTGTATCTTGTTGGATGCACCTGGATATGGAAAATGGAAGCCAAATTTATCTTTAAAGACTGTATTTTCAAAATAAAACTTTTTTCTTGTTTCAACTCTCCTGCAAAGGGTCTTGCTACTTAGCCTCTGTTTTTCCTCTGTGCTCTGCAAGAGTGGGCTGCCTCCTAAATAGCCAGTATCGATGGGTATATTTCCCCCCTAGGCTTTAAAAACAAGACCTGCAGTTCTCTTACTGGAACTTCAGCTCTTCCCTTTTTGTACTGTGGCATTTTGGAGTTGGACAGCTGTGCTGTCCTTTCGTATTATTCCTTCAGATAAAAGCAACATAGTTATTATTAATAAGCTGCAAGTCCAATGACTGCCCCACTTAAAAGCACAAGGTGGGAAAAAGCATACGAAAAAAGAAGAAAAGGAACTGCTCACCATTTCATTTCTTTAAAGTCCTTGACCTAGTGTCAAAGTTTATGATGGGCAACTTCTCTTGCCATTAGACTTTGAACACTGTGATTTAGCACTATAGACAGACTTTACCCTGCCTTCAGGGGAGAGGTCTAAAACCTGCAGAACACGGGGGTGGGGGGGGGGTAAGGGGGGAAAACTACAACCTTAAGAAGATGGAGGACTAGAGGAGAAGAGAGAGGCCACTTGGCTGTGTTTGCACACAATATTTCTTTCCGAGGGTAGAGAACTTTTCTTCCAGAAGTTTCGGATTTCTCTGCAAAGCAAACTGAGTTAGGCCACCAGCAGGGTTTCTGTCACTAGTTGGCCTTTTGTCCCTGGGAAAGTGCCAGAAGTACAAGTGACTCTGTGTATAGAACTCATGGCAAATCTGTAATCACCTTCTGAGGCATTTCAACTTTTCCCAAATGGCTTCTGGGGAATATGACACTGATAGAATGACGACCCTGTGTAGGATTTGGGAGGAGGACTTTGGCTGCAGGTAAACAGTAGTACGATGCGGAGTCTGGAAGGAATAATCACTGAACTTAAAGGGGGAACATCAGAGGAACCTGTAATCCCGTGGCCCAGTAGGGTCTCACAAACTTTAATACTGAACAGCAGCGTGAATTAGATATTTTCAGAGGTTTTTTTTTTTTTTTCCACATTTGTACATTTGTGTGGAATGGCATGTTTTATGTTCAGAGTGATACTAGGCAACATGTCCTATATTTGCACCTTACAATCCTCCAGAAAGGCAGGTAGGGATTTGAGGACTAGATTCAAAATTTCTCACCAGTGCCCTGTTCAATAGGACTGACAAGGAGTTTTCAAAATTGTTCTGACTCACTGCTTCCTCTGTTCTCAGGGGAGCTAGCTGGAAGTCACTTCTGCTTCTCATGAGAGATACCTCTCTTCAACAAAGTGTCTACTCACCAGCCTGTGTGTCTACTACCCGCACAAATGCATTTCCCAACATGGGATGGGCCTAAAGGCTTCACTGAGGAGAGAGGACAAGGACGGGTGCATATGTGTGTGGTATTCAGAGGAATGAGACTGTTTGTTTTCTTTTGTTTGTATAGAATTAACTCGGTGACCTCCCTATCCCTACTCTCTCAAGATCCTGCCCACTTTGGCACAGAAGATTTGAATGCTTTGGGCAGGGTTACACATGGACTGTCCCTAAAGCTTTCCTAATCCTGCAGGCTTTTTCCATGTGGTCAGTTTCACAGCCCCACCCACCTCGACTGACTACAAGCTTCAACAGTTCCATTGCACAGGCTTCAGTCACATTATCAAAGAATGGCTCTTGCTCACCATCAAGCTCAGGCGTAGTCTTGAAGTCCCTGTCACAGGGATCTGGAGATAGGTATAACCAGAAAACGATCCCTCTTCATTTGTCTTTGTTGAAAAAATGGGAATCAGAAGCGAATGAGGAAAATCAGAGAAGAAAGTGGAGAAAGCATTTCCCCTTTCGATATATACATTACTTCACAATTTAAGGCTAATTTATCTATGCAGTCATTAATTTAACAAATGCTTATTATGTTCTTTTCATTTGCCAAGCCCTGTGCTTGGTTCCAACGATTTTCATGATCAGTTTCTGCCTTTCCATATCTGGTGGGACATTTTAGAATAATTTAAAAATCTCTAATAGGACTTAGTTTTATAGCTACCCTCAACCTACACTCTTCAGGATCTCAGGTGAACTTTAGAACAGTGGGTTCCTCTTCAAATTCTGAGTGTTGTTTCTTCTTTAGGATGTCCAAGTGTGCAGGAAGTGAATCTTACATGAGACAAACTTATGAGACATCATAGAGAAAACGATACATCTTATCTTATGATATTGGTCTGATGCGCTTTTTTTTTTGGTGGTTTTGGGGTTTTTTTGGTGAGCTTTTTTGCATAGAGAAGAGTCATTCTTTGAGTTTTAAGATTAGTTTTCCTTACAGCCTCTATCATAGTCAACTCATGAATTAATACTCCTGGCCAGAAACCAGAGTGAGAAATATCACAAGTCACAACCGCAGTGTGGAAGACCTTTATGAGCACTGTACTGAGCTATGACTTTAATCTCATTTTACAATCTCTGTGCGGGGGCGGGGGCAGGGGATTAAAAATAATTTCTAAATATGAATTACGTTGTAAAGTAATTGTTACTCTAAAGTTACCAATGTGTGTTAAGTCCACTTATTGGTGCTAATATTTACATAGGGGTTATTGTGGCCTCGTGCTTTATAATGTAGTCATTAAGATTACTGTGTTGCCCAGGCACATCCTCTTTTACATTAGAAGGCCTTTCCAAAATTTGACTCTAGGACAACTAAATATTTAAAAAGTAAACAAATCTCAAATCTCAGATCATAAGTAGGCCCAAATACAACTAGTGATGAAATCAGAGGCAGTTAATGCGAGTCTCTTCTACTGTTCATTTGTCAGATGTTAGCATAGGCATTTAGATTTCTTCCCTTAAATCATGTTCAATCAAGTACCCTTGCCCCAAATTTGATTCTGGAAGGGTCAGTCTACCCCTGGAAGGCACTTGGGAAACATTAGTTCTTTACTATTGTCAACATGATAGACGAGATGCATTTGGATTAAACACAGTGTAGAAACTATAGCAAATTTTAATATGAAAGGGTATTACCATGGCATGATGGTTGCCTTTCTTATTACCAAAGTAATTTTATTATTATTATAATAAAGAAATTTTTAAAAATAAAGCCTTGTAAAAGAAATTTGAAGCCTTGCCATATATTGCAAGCAGGAATGGCTTTGTATTTTGGAGGATTATTTGTGTTCATCTTTATTTGTATGTTATATTGAGACCATATTTCCCAATTTTTCCTTCTGAAATGTAACTTGCCACTGATAAGCACCTCTGCTGACAGCAATGAGCAATACAGGGAGTGGAGATTCAGAATGATTCAGCTTTGATGACCTGAGATAGTTCATGTTTATTCCTGCTCCCTTTCTTTATTGCTTTTTGGTCCTGCCCTTCCCCCTCCCCCCTCCCCACCTAACATAAATTACATTAGTATCTAAGCAAGTACCTTTTTTCTTGAAACTATTCAAGGCAAAAACTGATAGTGAAAACCAGTAACACAAATATATCACAAGAAGAAAAATTTTAAGGTAAATTATAATGCTATATCTCTTAGGATGCTTTCTACCTACAAGAAACAGAAAAACAGACTAAAAGTGGCTTAAACAATAGGGAATTTATTTTCTTCCATAAAAAAAGTCTCAAGGTAGGGTTCAGGGATGTGTAATTAATTGGAGTGACAGGATCATCCAACGCCCAGTTCTTCTTACTTTTCTCTTCTGTATCTTTTGTGCGTAATTGCTCCCTTCATGGACAGAAGATGGCTGCAAAAGCTCCAACCATCAGCTCTAGTACTTCATTCTCACACACATTCCATAGGCAGAAAAAGGGGTTATCTCTTTCTTGTTTCACTTTTTGAGAACTAAGAATGTCCTCCATAAGTCCAACCTGTCTACTTGCTCTCATATATTATTGGCCAGAATTAATTCACTTGCCCCTTCCTCAGCCAATCACTGACATGGAATTATAACCATGATTAACTAAGACTAAAATTCACCTTTTATGCATGGAAATGGAGGCAGTCTTCCTAGGAGCCCTTGGCTGCCTGAAAACACCTGAGTTCTGCAAGCAAGGAAGAAAGCAGAACTGGTTGTTATTAATATTAAACAGATGTTAAAAATGAGGATTCCATGGACAACCTTATGTTAGGACTAGATGCCTGGTGCATGAGATTCATGCACAGGTAGGGTCCTAGGTGTGGCTTGTGATCAGGGCCAATCAGGGCCTTCTGACTGCCAACTGGGGCCTCCCTTCCCCAGCTGCCTGCGGCCAGCAGGGGCATCCCTTTGTTCTGTGCCGCCTCCTGGTGGTCAGCGCACATCATAGTGAGCAATAGAACTCCTGGTCGAACTCCCGTGGGGACACTTTGCCTCTTAGTCTTTTATATAGATAGATATGCTTATATTACTACTAGAGGCCCGGTGCACGAAATTTGTGCACGGGTAGGGTCGCTAGGCCTGGCCAGCTGGTCGCCTGCCATTTTCTGCACCGCCCCCTGGTGGTCAGTGCACATCATAATGAGTAATCGAACTCCTGTTCTCCCGGTTGAACTCCCAAGGGAACAATTTGCATATTAGCCATATATATATATGAAGGATACTCAATGGCATATACAATATTATCCAAACTAATTAAATAAAACCTCTAAACAAAAAAACTAAGCATAAACAAAGACTAGCAGAAAATATACCAAAATATTAATAGCAGCTATTCATGAATAACAAAAAATTTTCTTCTCCTTTTCTTATTTTCAACTCTTCTACAATGACCATGTGTTACTTTTATAAAGAAAACAAAGTAAAAAAAAACCACAAAAACCAACATTATTTTAAAATCCAAGATAAAAACCTTAATTTCCTCAATATTTTTGGTTTTTCATCTTGCTTTATTGCCTCTGACCAGTCTTGTCTCTTTTCATGCACACCCACACATACTTCTTCTAAACCATCCCTTTAATTTAGTTACACCTTACTTTCTAGTTTCCTTTTCTTTTTTCTTTGATTTCTATTCAAATCTCCTTTTCCTATCTTTTCTCTTCTCTAGGTTTCTGTGTCCTGATACTTTTCCTCCCTGTTAACAGCTTCGATACATCTAGCTCATGTTTCTCCTGGTGAGATCATTAGAAGTATCCAGGGTACTTATTTCTGAGTCCTCCCTAATCCAGTGGGTGAATGGGATTTCTGGTGATAAAGACTCAGAACTCTGTGTTTTAAACAAACACTTCAGGTAGTTCTTATGTGTATTAGAGACTGAGAACTTTTGCATTAGCCTTTGACACCGTCATCCCCTTTATCTTATCCATCAGTCATTTACTATGTACCTACCATAATAAACATAAAACAAATCTCAACCTACTTTTCTTTACGTATTTACCCACTGTCCTTGGAGTTGTCAAGTCTTCTTCTGCCTTGGTTCTCACTACTCTTCTCTGTTCTCCCCATCTACTTTTTTTTTTTTTTAATCGTTGTTGTCCTTAAATTCCTTTTTTCTCCTCACAATAATAAACATCTTTGGCTTTGATAATTTTTTTTGTTTTATTTGTTATCTTAGTCCACTCAATAATTTAAAGAGGCAGAAGAAGAAAGAGAATGTAATAATTGATTAATATGAGGAAATCACAGAGAGGTAAAAACAATTTTCTTTTCAATTTGTAAATTGAAATATCATCACCAAATGACTTGTTACTTCAGCTTCTATATGAAGAACATTAATTTGCTATGAGTAATGCTTTATGTATTGAAGTATAGGTGCATGTTTATTTTAAGATCAGAGCTAAGTGACGTTTTTAAATATTATTTATATGATTATTACACAAAAATTTCAGAGCAGGAGGCCATTTTGTGATGGAAAGAGCCATGGACAAGAAGTCAGAAGGTGAATTTAATTTTATTTAAGCTCTAGAATTGTTTACAAATAAGACACTTACCCTCTCTGGGACTCAGTTTTTCATCTGTAAAATGAGAATTTGCACTACATAATAAGCAAGGCCTTCTCTAGCTGGAAGATTGGTGGTTCTCATTGAGGTAACTATTGTTGATAACGGCTAGAAAATACCAAGAAATCATATCATTTTCCTCCCATAAAGAATTTTAACTCAGTAAAAATAAAAGTGGGTTTACAAATTAATCTCTATTTGCATACTGTCATATCATGTTTTCCTGAAACTGTTCATATTTTAGATTCTCTTTAGAAGACTATTGATTGGTAGTTATGTTTTTAAACTGGAAAGTAAATGTATTTCCTTATTATTTTTCAGATGATAACAATCATGCTGATTGTAAGAAATTCAAACAATATAAAACTGTATAAAGTAAAAGTCTTTTCTTTTTCCCTTACCCACTAATGATCCTCTTAATTTTATTTCCCAGAGGTAGCCACTCTTAATATTTTGGGTATATCTTTCTAAACATTTTTCTGGGAACATGCAAATGTAAGTGTACACTTAGAAACATGCACACACAAATAGGCTCATACTCTAATAGTCCTTTGCAACTTGCTTCCCCCTCTCCTTAACAATAAAACAATATAAATTGGGTCTATTGCTACTTTTTCATACCAGTATAAATAGATCTTCCCCTAAGGTAATGGGGGGGGGGGAACCTAAGAAATTTTAAGTTTGAGGAGCCATTATTTTCATTAGAATTAATCATGAAGAAAAAATACATGCATTGTAATTAATGGTAACATTGCAATAGCTAATAAATGAATTTTAATGAAAGAAAAATATTTGCAAAAGGTAAAATTTGGGTAACTATCGAGTTGTGCTATTCATGTAATATTTTATTTTCTTGATCCACTCTTTAGTTTTGAAACAAACAATTATACATTTGAAAGGAAAAATAAATTTCAATTTTAAAGATATTAAAAAGAATGAAACATGAAATTAAAAAGTCATTCTGAAATGCTGTACAAAAATGCCATCTCTTTAACTGACAACCTGTAGCTCCCTACCTTCATGATGGCAGCTCAGAAAGTGCCTCAGGGCTTTGAGGATTCTTCAAGGTGTGTCATATTATGGTTCACATCAATGCACATGATATACCTCCCTGGCAAGAACTGAAAGATACAGTTCTTAAATCCCCTGGTGACCCATTATCCATGGATCGTTGACAAGCTAGAATGTGAGCTCCTGTCTTTTTACCAGGGTAAACTTCCCAGTGAAACTGTAGTGTTCGTGTACTACGTCTTTTATCTAAACAAGAAAATTCGTCTAGGAAAAAGAAACTTCATCAAGTAGACAATACAAATACCCTCCCATTTTTATTATATTTTAATATTTATTGAATGAGGAAATATCTATTGAAGTATAGTAGCTATTGAATTGCAGAGACTAGACTGAGGAACTTTTCCCAGAGCCTACCTTTCCAAACAGATCATTTGAAATTCAAGCTAAGTGAATTGCACAAGATCCAGAATTTGGAACAGCAAGTTAAACTAATAGATATTTTGCCTATTTAAGGACAGCATTAAAACAGTAGTACCATTGGTGTGATTGGCCAGAATTTAACATTTCTCATTGTTTTGCTGTGGTTCTCTATCCTAAGAATGACTTCACTTGTGACCTGGGTCATAGTCACAAATTCTCAGAGAGACTAATTCACAGGCCTCTGCAATATTTGCCATGTGGCACTGTGTTTTGCAACATCACAGAGTGACAGTGCTGTGTCGTAAATATCATAATGTGATGACAGGACATGGCCATGTTTTTTATGTGGTTCTGATCCAGATACATCTGAAAGATCCTTATTTCATGAGAATCTTCTTGATTTCTATAAGGATTCAGCCCCATTTCTATCTATTTAGAGATAGAAAAGGTTAGAAATGGAAAGATGATGTTCTAGTCAACTTGATTAACACTTTCTTTCCTTCCCAGGTCAAAAGCAAAAAAGAAAAAAAGGAAATAACTTGATCAACTATCTCCATAGAAATATAGGCAAAGGGTCAGATATTGTGGCCTAGACTCGTGAAGATATATATATATATCCCTTCGACCCAGCAATTCCACTAGAGAAACTCAAGCACATCTGTAGAAAGTGACATGGGCAAGAACACTGTCTGAAATATTGCTCAGAGTAGAAAACAACTCAAAAGAACATAAATATCCACTAACAGGAGAATGGATAAATAAATCATGGCTAGTCACAAAATGGAATATCATGTAGTAATTAAAATGGGTTAGTAGTACTTGTATCAGCATAGATTAATCTCAAGCACATCGTGTGTAAAAAAAAAAAAAAAAAGGCAGGTTGCAGAATGTTAAGTAGATATAATTCATGTGAAGTTTGAAGACATAATACATAACTTGTATAAATACAATAAAAGTATAAAGTGTTCTTAAAATAATAAACACCAAATTCTAGATAGTAATTACCTTTGGGGAGAAGGAGGGGGGAAAAATAAGAACTGGTGCACATTGAAAGGGACATCAACTGTATTTATGATACTTTATTTCTTTTAAAAAATATGAAACAACTATAGAAATTGTTAAGACTGGACAAAACTGAGTGGTGTGTGTAGGGGTGTTTATTATATGTCTCCATACTTTCTATATACTTGAAACTTTTTATAATAAACTTTTTTTTTTTAAAGAATGATTTTAGAGCTGAGAGGGACTTTAGAAACCTTCTAATACTGGATATTTAATGGGCAGCTACTCAGTGATGCTAGAGACACATTGGTGTGCCAGAGAGACAAGGCCTCTACAACCCTGGAAGCTTACATTCTATTGGAAAGAGGCCAAATTAAAACAAACAAACATGTATACATACAAAAACAGATATAATAAGGACCGCACAAGGGACTTCATTCCAGAAAATTGAGGTGCAGAAAAGTTAAGTGACTGTCTCAAGGTGCAAACCAATTCTAGAAACTTGCCTTCCCGCCCTGCCTTCCCACAAGTCTATTTTTCCCTGGTCACTCCCTAGCTTAATGTTATTCCAATTGTTGATGGTGTTAGGCACAAACACAATGATGGTGCCTTAGCTGTTTTGTAGCCATCTCTAATTTAAGATACAGGGCAAAAGGTACATATGCATCAAACACTAAAACTTAATTAAATCAGCTTTAAATTATCAGAATATTTTGAACATGACATTAAATTTACACAACTTTCTTATTAGGTAGGTCAGCATTATCTTCATTTCATGGATAAAGAAAGAGATGAATGGGGGAGTAGTAATGGGATGAAGTAAATTGCCCAAGGCTCTGTAGGACATAAGAGTGAAAGGTCTGGATCAGAAGTCCTAACTCTGGCTAATCTAGTGCAAAATCTTGAGTACCTTTCTTTCTGATCTCACCTTTCAGGTCAATGTGCCTCACTTGCACACCCTCCTGTAAAGCAATGCTACTCTTTTGAAAATAGTAAGAAAAGGGCCCATAACACTAAT